CTGACACATGTGTACAGTCTTATATATATAGGTGATCCTCAGGACACCCATTAACTCCAGCCTGACAGATGTGTACAGTCTAGTATATAGGTGAACCTTAGGACACCCATTAACCCCAGCCTGACAGGTGTGTAGTCTATATAGGTGATCCTTAGGACACCCATTAACTCGTGCCTGACAGGTGTGTAGTCTATATAGGTGATCCTCAGGACACCCATTAACTCCAGCCTGGAAGGTGTGTAGTCTAGAATATAGGTGATCCTCAGGACACCCATTACCCCCAGCCTGACAGGCGTGTACAGTATAGTATATAGGTGATCCTCAGGACACCCAGATGTGTACAGTCTAGTATATAGGTGAACCTTAGGACACCCATTAACCCCAGCATGACAGGCGTGTAGTCTAGTATATAGGTGATCCAGCCTGACAGGTGTGTGCAGTCTAGTATATAGGTGATCCTCAGGGCACCCATTAACTCCAGCCTGACAGGCGTGTACAGTCTAGTATATAGGTTATCCTCCGGACACCCATTAACTCCAGCCTGGAAGGTGTGTAGTCTAGAATATAGGTGATCCTCAGGACACCCATTACCCCCAGCCTGAGAGGCGTGTAGTCTAGTATATAGGTGATCATTAGGACACCCATTAACCCCAGCCTTACAGGCGTGTAACATATACTAAAACATGACAGACACCGAATTAAAACCTATGTAACCTTTTATTGATCCTCAGGACACCCATTAACTCCAGCCGGACAGATGTGTACAGTCTAGTATATAGGTGAACCTTAGGACACCCATTAACCCCAGCCTGGCAGGCGTGTAGTCTAGAATATAGGTGATCCTCAGGACACCCATTAACCCCAGCCTGACAGGCGTGTAACATATACTAAAACATGACAGACACCGAATTAAAACCTATGTAACCTTTTATCTCTATCTTGAGTTTAAAATGTTGTAGATGTATGCATAGGCTGCAAAATGGTTTGTATGGTTTTAATTAGTTTAAGTGCATACTGAGTGTGGCAGTAATTATCTCAATAGGAAAATTGGTAAAGGAGAAAGCACCATCAGGGGAAATATCAGCCACTAGAATTATTTACAAAAAGAAGTACGGTGTAACCTCGATAAAATGCTGCTTCTTCTATAATGCCATCCCACAAACTAAAGTATAACCTCCAACACATGTTCAGGTCGGTACCTCCAACACATGTTCAGGTCGGTACCTCCAACACATGTTCAGGTCGGTACCTCCAACACATGTTCAGGTCGGTACCTCCAACACATGTTCAGGTCGGTACCTCCAACACATGTTCAGGTCGGTACCTCCAACACATGTTCAGGTCGGTACCTCCAACACATGTTCAGGTCGGTACCTCCAACACATGTTCAGGTCGGTACCTCCAACACATGTTCAGGTCGGTACCTCCAACACATGTTCAGGTCGGTACCTCCAACACATGTTCAGGTCCGTACCTCCAACACATGTTCAGGTCCGTACCTCCAACACATGTTCAGGTCCGTACCTCCAACACATGTTCAGGTCCGTACCTCCAACACATGTTCAGGTTCGTACCTCCAACACATGTTCAGGTCCGTACCTCCAACACATGTTCAGGTTCGTATCTCCAACACATGTTCAGGTCCTTACCTCCAACAAATGTTCAGGTCCGTACCTCCAACACATGTTCAGGTTCGTACCTCCAACACATGTTCAGGTCGGTACCTCCAACACATGTTCAGGTCCTTACCTCCAACAAATGTTCAGGTCCGTACCTCCAACACATGTTCTCCTATTATATCAACAAACCTTGACATATTGCCGACATTTCAATAGACAACATTGGCACTATATAGAGCAGTTTTACTGAAATTGCATTTTGCGAGGAATTTGTTTAAAGAGAAAAATTTACATGTTTTCATGTGTTATACTGTATAAGTGCCATGGGCAGTTGTCAATTCGGGATGGTGAGATTGTTCGCAAAACCTTCCCAAATACTAAAATAAAGAGCATTAATTGACAATTTTAAGTGAAAGGGATAATCCATTCAGACCAGGAAGGGGTAGGGATGATTTTATGGTTGGGCAATTCAAATCGTTGACAATTGTAATGGCTATGAAATTTTTCTTTTTGTAGGTAGGGGGGGGGGGGGGGGGGGGGTCATAAAAATAGAATTTGTGCCGCTAATTTCAAGTGTTCTTTTATACAGGTTCCTGGGGTTACAGGGTTCAATGAAGACAAGACTTACTGTTACAGCTACTACAGACCGTATAGACTAGCAAGGATATCAAATATGAAATATTTGGTATATCTGTGACACAAAAAGTGTCTATTTAACTCGCTCAGGGGGCCATGAATGACTGTTATTGTGTGTGCTCCTTTTTTACTTCTGTAAAATCCTAAGTATTTCTCTCCTTCAGCTTCTGACCTACATTTAAGCTATCACACATGTAAATTCATGTAGAGCAAAAAATACCATTTCAACTGAAAACAAATTACTAATCCCCAAAACATTATAAATCAGACTGAAATATAAATTATACTAATGTAGATACAAGTCTTACAATTCACAAAGCCAAATAAATAAATTCTGTTTCCCGGCTTTGAAAAAAAAGAGTGGGTTAAGGTAGGTAGATTGTTTCCTTTTTGACAATACCCTTTACATCCATTCCTGGCTTGAATGATGCTTGTTGAAAATTAAAATGTGTAGGGTTGAGTCCTGACCCACTATTTGGTTAGGTAAGCTAGGGTAAGCTAGGTGTAACCAGAAATACAGGTATTTTCATAATTGTCCTAGCCATGAAATTATAAGCCCATCCTAAAATGAAAGTTGTTTCATGTTTCAGTAAATATTTATGAAATACATGCATATATACATACGAAAAGTCATTTTTAATAAAAATATATGCATGAACACATAATTTTTTTGTATTACCATATGTATAATATATGATGAAGGTATTTGGTTCCACTCATGTGAGTTTTATCACAAACAAGTGTGTCTCTATTATATATACTTGTGCATATGTGCAACAGGACCACTAGACAGTGAACACTGTATTCAGTCCAGACATGAATGGCTATATCTACACCATCTACATTTTTAATATCCTACACTTTGTCTGATTACCTCCCCTTGATGAATAAATGCATAAATGCTTGATCAGTATTTTTTTTATAAATAAACAACAGGCCCATGGGCCTTGATTGCTCACCTGACATTTGCCATTATTTCAATTCAAAACCTGCGGAATACCATACATTTCTATCAAGTGTTTAGATTCTTCAGGAGTTGTTTTATGTTATTGCAATATTTGATCCCTATGACCTCAAAAATAGCTGAAGCTTAATGTCACTTTTGATTACAAGATTTGTAAGGCTCAACCCCTGAAAGATACTAGCCAAGCATCCTGACTAGATCTTTTGGTTCTTTAGAAGAAGTCTTTTTCAGTTTTTGACATAACTGACCTCTGTGACCTTAAAAGTAGAACAAAGTCATTCTTATTCGAAAATATTCTTAGGTTTCATCTCAGAAAGCTACATACCAGCTAAATGTCATAACTTTAGGCCTTTTAGTTCTTCAAAAGAAGTCATTCAAAGTTTTGACAGTTGACCTAGGTCTAAGTCAATTTAAAGTGGGCCAAGGTCATTTTTGCTAGCATACTTTGTGAGGGTTCATCTGAGGAATCTACAAGCCAAATATCATGATTCTATGCCTTTCAGTTCTAAAAAGAAGATATTTAATTTTTGACATTTTGACCTATGTGACCTTGAGAGTAAGTCAAAGGCTTTTTTTTCACACATTTTGTTAGTTTCCCCCTTAGAAATCGACCAGCAAAATATCATGACCCTAGACCTTTTGGCTCTTCAGAAGATGCCATTTCAATTTTTGATATATCTGACTTCTGTGACCTTAAAAGTAGGTCAAGGTCATATGTGTTTGCGAACTTTGTAAGGCTTTATCCAAGGAAGCTAAAAGACACTACAGTAGGCCATCTAGTTGTTTAGGAGAAGTCGTTTCATGGGAAAGTTGACAACGGACAGATGATGGATGCTGGGCCATGCTCCTTTTTTTTCACTTTGTGCATTCTCCCTTCTAGAAAATGAAGTAACCAAAAGAAGGTTTTTCTCGCTTAGAGTAAATCTCCTGTCAAGGTCTAGATCTTAACACTTGGAATACTTGGAACAAAAAAAAGAGGAAGGTGTCTGGAGGTGCTGGAGACTTACTGAATACCTGTACAGAATATCTGTATCTGTGTTAAGCCTATACTTCCAGTGTTAAACCCATACGTCCAGTGTTAAGCCTATACGTCCAGTGTTAAGCCTATATGTCCAGTGTTAAGCCTATACGTCCAGTGTTAAGCCTATATGTCCAGTGTTAAGCCTATACGTCCAGTGTTTAGCCTATACATCCAGTGTTAAACCTATACGTCCAGTGTTAAGCCTATATGTCCAGTGTTAAGCCTTTACTTCCAGTGTTAAGCCTATATGTCCAGTGTTAAGCCTATACGTCCAGTGTTAAGCCTATATGTCCAGTGTTAAGCCTATACGTCCAGTGTTAAGCCTATACGTCCAGTGTTAAGCCTATACATCCAGTGTTAAGCCTATACATCCAGTGTTAAACCTATACGTCCAGTGTTAAACCTATTCGTCCAGTGTTAAGCCTATACGTCCACTGTTAAACCTATATGTCCAGTGTTAAGCCTATACGTCCAGTGCTAAGCCTCTACGTCCAGTGTTAAGACTGTCTCCCCTCTCAGTTGAGGATCCCCTTACCACTGGCGACATTTCCTTAATCATACATGCTTTCCGGATTAGTCCAATTTAAGAATAAACATTTTAATACCCCCACCCCCCACCCCTTACTTACCAAGAGTAATTTAGTCTAATGCAAGATCTTTCAGAAAAAAAATCAACTGTGCAAGAAATGAAACTCCAAAATACAAAAAAATAGCCCAGGCAACAAAATTCAAGTTATAAAGGAAACAAAAATATGCTCACCTTTGCCTATAGTGAATATGTCCTCATACTGATTGAGTTTATGTGTGATGCGGAGAGTTCCCTGGTACAGCTCCACACAGAAATGGTAAACCTCTAGGTCCTCTGTAAGTCGTCCATAGTACATTTCCTGTGACGCCTTTGGCGTCACAAGGTGACAGAACAGAAGTCCATGGGGCTGCTTGGTCTTAAAGGTCAAGGCCAGGTCAAGTTTGGGGTCCTGTAGAGTTGAGGCAACAGGATGAAACAGTAGGTAGCCCTCCGCGAGGATGGTCCAGGTATCCGTTGGTGGGGGCAATGTGGTGGTAGATCTGGACGAATCGGGCGAGGACAAAGTGGAGGAGTTCCCTGTATCTGTCGTCTGAAGCGTTGTGGACTCTTGTGCCAAGGTTTGTAAGGCTGCAAGTGTTACCAATAGGGCCAGCTGCCAGCCCCGGGGCTCCTGGGTAGTAAAGCATACCCCGCCCCACAGCATCACCTGTACAGTAAATAACACAGGGTTATAGATATACCTTACACAGTACCATTATATATATATATATTTATCAAGCAATAGGCCCATGCCTGGTAATAAGCCCACCTACTGTATATCTATTACAGTTCCTGTGGAAATGACTACAAATAGTATACCACTGTCCTGTAATAAGCCCACATGTCTACTTTAAGTCAGAGATCAAGTGTTAATCCCCTGGGCTTATTTTAATATATTAATACTGTAAGTATGATTAAAATCAGGACCACAGCCCGACATTTAGTGAGTATGTCGAAGCTATCAATCTCAGCAGGCAGTCATATGATGTATGAACGTCATGGCTTGATTGTTGACATCATCATTATTATGACATCAGAATGGTGTCCCTTATTACTGTAGTTATTGACTCAACTTCATGGAAAATGGCTGCAGTACTTATTGGAAGTTATAATTGCTGTAGCAAAATCTGAACCAATTATTATTCGGAAATCTTAGGATAAGCAGTCGTTCCAATAAATGGTCACATATTGTAAGCAAGAGAGAGAGAGAGAGAGAGTGAGGGGGGATTTGGTGATGATGAAGTAAAATGGAATGGAAACCCATGCAGTCACCCAAATCTACCTGTTCCAATGATATATCTATGCACCTGATTAAAAATTTCTGTATTATCATTGCAAGACAAGTTTGCATTGGATCACCATGTAATAACTTTCCGATGTCCACGATTACCCCTAACTTTCCGATGCCCACGATTACCCCTAACTTTCCGATGTCCACGATTACCCCTAACTTTGCTATGGTTTCAGCGCGAATTGTGTTATAGTTCCTACATTCAATGAGAAAGTGAGAAGTGGTTTCAATGCAACCACAGAAACACAGGCTGGTTTCTGAAACATGATAATTATATTCGAGTCGAAGTCTTGTATGAAGTACCTGGGCACGCCGTTTGCCCGAGTCTAAGCATTGTATGAATTCAGTACCTGGGCACGCCGTTTGCCAAAGTAATAGACGCTTATTATATTACTCTTAATGAATTACATTATTTTAACTACTTCAATGATCAGAAGGCATTTATAGCCCATATGACTGCCAACACAAAATTTACATATTCAACATGAGGCATAAGTCAGTATGCATTGTACTGCAGTGTGCTTCAAAGAATTTGTTTTTTTTCCATTAATTTGGCATCCATCTTGACTACAAATGTCAACTGAGAGCAGTGTATTACAGTGTACTAATAAAAACAATGACTACATTACAAGACAACACTTGAGTAAAATTTAGAGATATACTGCAAATTCAATGTAAAGTTATATGAAGAAATGCAAGATTTTTTCTTTTTCCACAATAATCCTCGAAAGATATCAAACCTGTCTTTCTCATGCTTTGGAGCAATATAAGTCTTTATATTCATAAAACTACACCATATATATATGACAACTGTTTCCCTGGGAAGATGCAGGTTTCAAGATCAACCTACCACATAGACAAGTAAAGCTGAGAAACTGTCAGAGTTTATCTGCCAGATTGAAATTGAGTACACGCATGCATATATTCAAGGCAAATGTGAACGATGATATAAACAAACTTGCATGAGACACTCAATTTGGAAAATACTGAAGGCAACAAGACAATGGCTGATTGCCATAGCGTGTTTGATTTTCAACCACAAGACAAAATCAATACTCATTGTCACTTTGTTCATCATAAGACTTCTAAGTCTACCTAAGTCTGATATGAAATCAATATCATGTTGTCACCTTGTTCTGACATAAAACATGTCTACTTCTACTCCATTTCTAGTGAGATATCATTGCACTTTATTGGAGTTCAGCAAACACATGTAGGATTCTGTATACAGTAGAACCTTGTTAGTCTGGACACTTTGGTTTGTGTGTACAGTAGGACCTTGTTAGTCTGGACACTTTGGTTTTTGTGTACAGTAGAACCTTGTTAGTCTGGAAACTGGTTTGTGTGTACAGTAGAACCTTGCTAGTCTGGACACTTTGGTGTTTGTGTACAGTAGAACCTTGTTAGTCTGGACACCTTGGTGTTTGTGTACAGTAGAACCTTGTTAGTCTGGAAACTGGTTTGTGTGTACAGTAGAACCTTGTTAGTCTGGAAACTGGTTTGTGTGTACAGTAGAACCTTGCTAGTCTGGACACTTTGGTGTTTGTGTACAGTAGAACCTTGTTAGTCTGGACACTTTGGTTTGTGTGTACAGTATAGGACCTTGTTAGTCTACTCATCTCTGACACTTTGGTATGTGTGTACAGTAGAACCTAGTTAGTCTGGAAACTGGTTTGTGTGTACAGTAGAACCTTGTTAGTCTGGACACTTTGGTGTTTGTGTACAGTAGAACCTTGTTAGTCTGGACACCTTGGTGTTTGTGTACAGTAGAACCTTGTTAGTCTGGACACTTGGTGTTTGTGTACAGTAGGACCTTGTTAGTCTGGACACTTTGGTTTGTGTGTACAGTAGAACCTTGTTAGTCTGGACACTTTGGTTTGTGTGTACAGTAGAACCTTGTTAGTCTGGACACTTTGGTTTGTGTGTACAGTAGAACCTTGTTAGTCTGGACACTTTGGTTTGTGTGTACAGTAGAACCTTGTTAGTCTGGACACTTTGGTTTGTGTGTACAGTAGAACCTTGTTAGTCTGGACACTTTGGTTTGTGTGTACAGTAGAACCTTGTTAGTCTGGACACTTTGGTTTGTGTGTACAGTAGAACCTTGTTAGTCTGGACACTTTGGTTTGTGTGTACAGTAGAACCTTGTTAGTCTGGACACTTTGGTTTGTGTGTACAGTAGAACCTTGTTAGTCTGGACACTTTGGTTTGTGTGTACAGTAGAACCTTGTTAGTCTGGACACTTTGGTTTGTGTGTACAGTAGAACCTTGTTAGTCTGGACACTTTGGTTTGTGTGTACAGTAGAACCTTGTTAGTCTGGACACTTTGGTTTGTGTGTACAGTAGAACCTTGTTAGTCTGGACACTTTGGTTTGTGTGTACAGTAGAACCTTGTTAGTCTGGACACTTTGGTTTGTGTGTACAGTAGAACCTTGTTAGTCTGGACACTTTGGTTTGTATTAACAGTATAGAACCTTGTTAGTCTGGACACTTTGGTTTGTGTGTACAGTAGAACCTTCTGGACCCTTTGGTTTGTGTGTACAGTGGCACCTTAATAGTCTGGACACTTTGGTGTTTGTGTGGACAGTAGAACCTTGTTAGTCTGGACACTTTGGTTTGTGTTAACAGTATAGAACCTTGTTAGTCTGGACACTTTGGTTAATGTGTACAGTAGCACCTTGTTAGTTTGGACACTTTGGTTTGTGTGTACAGTGGCACCTTATTAGTCTGGACACTTTGGTGTTTGTGTGTACAGTAGAACCTTGTTAGTCTGGACACTTTGGTGTTTGTGTGGACAGTAGAACCTTGTTAGGCTGGACACTTTGGTTTGTGTGGACAGTAGAACCTTGTTAGTCTGGACACTTTGGTTTGTGTGTACAATATATATTCCATATCTTCCAACGGTGTGATTTGTAAAACAGCTCTGTGATGCATTCATTTTAACATATACCCTCCAGTGGTGTTATTTTTAAACAGCTCTGTGATGCATTAATTATAATTATGGTAACCTGCAAGTACACTCTCCTTGGAAGTGACTCATACTCCCCTCCATCAACATTCCATCTCTGGCTCATTACTGTCGTAAAAGTTATAGTTTTTATAACTCGTGTTACTTATTTAACTCATAAAGACTCACCCAATATTTATCTGATAACCCATCTCTCCACCAGTATCCGTCAAATTCATATTGAACCTAATGGAAAACCACTTATATTTAGAGGAATGTCACTGTAGAAGCAATATATTTCTATTGACCAATATCTGAACTGGCTTTTAAGGTTAAATCTCCATCTTTATGAATGATGAGATGATAAGACTTGATTCAGATTAACACAAATGTACAAGTTGTACCTGGAGCTATCTGGCTCGGAGAAGAATCAATGTTCCGGATCAATAATCATTACATGGAATTTGCTTCCATTAGATTTCCAGGTCAGCCTCAGGGGCTATAACTCATCCAGATCCTCACAGTAGTTCTGACAAATCCTTTGGGGAATTTCGCCTTTTTCTAACACGTTATTTTTTCTCAGATAAGTATTTGGACCATGTGGGTAACAGGTCAGGGGACTGTATACAGGGATAAAACCTATGTGGTGTGGTAATCTCTGTTTATTATAGATCACTGATATCCCGGTCAACAACTTTATTGATCTTTTATGTACAGTAAGCAACCAAATAAAGGCAATGTATGTATACATCCTAAAAAACCTAACTAGAGAAACAGCAGAAGTAGACTTACATTAGTACAATGTTTATAAGTCAGTATTAAACCCACTGAATAATTAGAAATTAAAAAGGTTTTTCTTTTGATTCACAAGTAGTTCATAGTAGTTTGTCCATAGCCTAATTTTAACAGGTATGAGTGGTAGATTGAAACCTGTTTAACTCAACACCCCGTTGGACACAACATATTGATCATATTAACCTGTCTAATCTGATACCCTGTGGACACACAACATATTGGTCAGATTACCCTGTCTAATCTGATACCCTGTGGGACACAACATATTGGTCAGATTAACCTGTCTAATCTGATACTGTGGGACACAACATATTGGTCAGATTACCCTGTCTAATCTGATACCCTGTGGGACACAACATATTGGTCAGATTAACCTGTCTAATCTGATACCCTGTGGGATACAACATATTGGTCAGATTACCCTGTCTAATCTGAAACCCTGTGGGACACAACATATTGGTTAGATTAACCTGTCTAATCTGACACCCTGTGACACACAACATATTGGTCAGATTAACCTGTCTAATCTGACACCCTGTTGGAAACAAACAAATTGCCAGATTAACCTGTATAATCTGACACCCTATTTGACACAACACATTGGTCAAATAAATCTTTCTAACCAAACACCTTTGGG